ACCATGCCAAAATTAAAAGGTTTAAGTTGAATTTTTTGATTTTTTAAATATTAATATCTTATGAACTCCATAATCGACTAAAAACCAATGGCGTCACCATAAAGACAACTAATTTATCCTTTAGCTGATGTACATAATTTATAAGCTTCTCTATATTTTTAAACCAAAACCATTAAAAAACTAACAATTGTTATTTTTTCTTGAAATAACGTTTTTTGAAAAAAACTGCGTAATTAATGGTAAAGAAATCTATATTATTTAGAAATCACATGCTATTGGGCCCTATTATGGTTATCGACATCGACGCCGGTGTCATTTTTTTCATAAAAAAGCCCTCGTAAATCCATTTCCAACTGCGCTGACCACAGTATTTTTGCGGGGAACACCTTTCCACAAAAATACAGTGGTCAGTGTAGCTGGAGTTGGATTTGCGAGGGCTATTTTTGATGAAAAAATTACATCGACATCGACAACTATGAGTACACGCGCGAAATATCTGAGTCGAGCTTAGGCCGACTAAAACAAAAACATTTTTTTAATTCTGTATTGTCTTCTTTATTGGTTCTTCAGAACTAACTCAACTTATTAGCATTGCTTAGCCAATGAATTTCGCAATTGAGTATTTGCCAATTCATTGGTTCAGTTACTTCGTGCATTTACCAATTGTTGACCTAATTATTATTGCTAGTAAGCAAAAGCGCANATTTTTAATTCTGTATTGTCTTCTTTATTGGTTCTTCAGAACTAACTCAACTTATGAGCATTGCTTAGCCAATGAATTTCGCAATTGAGTATTTGCCAATTCATTGGTTCAGTTACTTCGTGCATTTACCAATTGTTGACCTAATTATTATTGCTAGTAAGCAAAAGCGCATTAATTGTAACTTGATGCTACCATGACCAACTGATGGTTGGTGTGTAAGTTGATGGTGGAGTTGACGTAACTTCTCCCCCTTTAGATTGGAAACTCTCCTGAATTTTTGTTTTGAGTTTTTTATATTTGGTATATGCAAGAGTGCTGACGAAATACATTAACACGATAATTATTAAAATTGTTACGAGCATTAAAATGGAGAAGTGTGAATGACTTATTTTGTGATATTTGAGTTCTTTTATTTTCTCCATATTTTGCATGTTACTTAGTACAATGTCATCGAAAGTTGGTTTTTGGTGTTGTTGAGTTTAATATTAGTTGGTAATGAAAAATTATCTTTAAAGTCTTTGTTTATGTTTTATAGATTTCTCTGGTCACAATCGCTACTTATATTATAGACTGGTGAATTTTTTAACAAAATCAGTCCTTCCTCAATTTCTATGATTTCTGTTGTGTTGCTTTTTATACTTTTGCATGTATTGTCGTATACACATAATTTGTTTTCTTATTTCTAAATTATATGTGTAGTCAAATATCTGATTGTTGTAATACAATATTTCTTGGGGCTTAAAGTCTAATGAGGTAAAGTTATTGTTGCTTATTGACGTAATCAATAATCTTTTTAGTGAGATTGTCTTAGCTGGCACTTTTATAATAAATTACAGTTGGTTTCCTCTATATTCTGCTGTGGCTAGATCAATATTCTGGAGTTTAAAAAAGTCAATTTCGAGTTCGTTTTTTCTTGCTCTGTTAGGATATTACTGGTCATGATACCAAGTCTGGAGGATGCTGTGTTATTTAAAATGTGTTCGATATTCTTTTCTAAAATTTTAATTTTGAGAAGAAGATCTAGGTAAGAAAGCTGTGTGGAGATATTTTCGTCCTCTGTATTTAGATCTTCAAATTTATCTATCACGTTCCGCCTGTCATTTTCAATAGCTAATTTTAGTTGGGTAAATGTTTTATTAAAGTTGTTATTAATTCGAATATTTTTATTAAGATTTTCTATTTCATTGTGGTTATTCTCGTCAATAATTTTAAGGTGTTCTTCTTTTTCTCTTCGATTGTTATCGTCCATCGTGCCTGTTAAAAACTTCAATCCAGTGCCCACTACATTCAGTAGTCCTCTTTTGTGTTGTGAGGTAAGGCCGTCAAGAGTTTTATCTTTACCCTTCTTAATTCCTGTTCTAGAAGTTTTTTATTTGTTCGCCTTGTTATTCTTATGTTTTGTTCTATTATGTGGATAATCTTACAATAATTTGCTATCATTTCCACGTTGTCGAGTTTAATTTCGGCGTAACCGTTGGTGCTGTCAATTGGTTGTATTGTCAGTGTTGCCGTTGTCACGGTTAACGTGAGCATCAACAGTGTCCGAATTAAACTCACATTGCTATTCTTTGTGCTTATTGCTCGGTAATAAAGCTGGTGGTACGATTCCCTTATCCCAAAGTTTTTGATCAGCTCGTCTTTGATGACGTCCCACGATGGGTGACCTCCAAGCCCTCTAACGACGTTAAGTCCATTGCCTTGAAGTTTGTCTATGACGCATCTTTGGAAGATGTATTCCCTCATCGGAGTGTTCTCAAAAAGCTGCAAGAATATTTCCACTTCGCGGATGAAGGAGGAAAGGTCGTAATCGAAAATCTTTTTACAAGTCCTTTTCACTAGGTTCTTTCACGAAATATTTTGATTTCACGACCGTTAGGATTCTTTTTAGAAGTCCTTTTCAGTAGGTTCTTTCACGAAAATCTTTTGATTTCACGACCGTTAGGATTCTTTTCAGAAGTCCTTTCACTAGATCCTTTCACGAAAATCTTTTAATTTCGCGACCGTTAGAATTCTTTTTAGAAGTCTTTTTCACTAAGTTCTTTCACAAAAATCTTTTGATTTCGCGACCTTTGACTGCGCCAATTACCTGAGTCGGGCTTAGGGCGACTAAAGAAAACAATTTTTAATTCTGTATTGTCTTTATTGGTTCTTCAGAACTAACTCAACTTAGTATAATATCATTTTGCTTATTCTAAATTTTTATTATTGACCTACTTATTCTGATATTGCTTAGCTAATGAATTTAGCAATTGAGTATTTGCCAATTCATTGGTTCAGGGACTTCCTGCATTTACCAATCGTTGACCTAATTATTATTGCTAGTAAGCAAAGGCGCATTAATTGTAACTTGATGCTACCATGACCAACTGATGATTGGTGTGTAAGTTGACGGTGGAGTTGACGTAACTTCTCCCCCTTTAGTTTGGAAATTCTTTAGATTCCTCTTAGATAGCCTCTTCGTTTGACACCTCACTATTGAAAATCGGGTGAACAGTGTAAATATTACAAATTTTGAGACAGGTGGAGACCCTATTAAAAAAAATAAAAGCTTATTAGAGGCCAAGCCCTTTCGTTTGACACCTCATTTTTGAAAATCATGCGAAGGATGTAAATATTATACTTTTGTAGACAGGCGGAAACTCTATTCAAAAAATAAATCCTTATTGTACGTCTTCAAGCCCAGCCCTTTCATTTGACACCTTATCTTTTTTTAATCCAACGAACCGTGCAGATTTTATAATTTTTAAAAAGGTGGCAATCCTATTCAAAAAATAAAAGCTTATTTCATATCTAGAGGCCAAGCCCTTTCATTTGACACCTCATTTTTGAAAATGGAATGAACGGTGCAAATCTTATGCAATTAACAAAATTTCATTCGCGCTGAATAGTAAGGGTATTCATCAAACCTTATAAATGCATTGTCATTTGCAGAGGGCTCGCGAATTTAATCTTCCGTAAAAATGAAAAGGCGACGTTTACGCTGTAGCACAGAAATGTGATGGATACAAAAATGGAGATATTTATTTCTAAAAGGCGAATACATACATATATGTGGTTAATAAATCACAAATTACATTTTTAAAAGTTTACTCACCGCAGTTTTCTCGCCCTCCTTCTTCAGCAAATGACAAAATTCCAGTGATGGCAATTGCAAATCGAAGTGAAGTTAAAGTCATAAAAGGACTGAAGAAGTAGGAGCGAGAAAATGGGTGGGTTCACAGAGGTACACAATAAAGTCGAATGGGTGAGTTCACAGATGTACGAAATAAAGTCGAATGGGTGAGTTAACAGAAGTACGAAATAAGTCGAATGGCTGAATTCACAATTCAATGATCATTTTATTACATCCCCCACCCCGTGGAACGCTCCGTTCCACAATTATCTACGTCTAAAATAGCCAATTTGGATGCAGGACGTCGCAGTACACCACTGATAGTACGAACGTCGGCACGGCGAATCTCCCCATCAGTTCCTTGATATATTTGCACCACTCTGCCACGACACCAATTCCTTCTTGGAGTGCTTGCCTCGCATATAAGCCCAACCTGCAACGCTCTTTCTCGGCGACACCACTTAACCCTTCGCGTTAACGTCGGCAGATATTCCGCTATCCAGCGTTTCCAAAAACGATCTCTGTACTGGCTCGACAATCGCCACTGGTTACGAAGAGCACATAATTTCTTGAGAGGATCCTCTACACTTGGAGTGTTAGCCGTATTCGCCGAGCCCAGCAACAAATGATTAGGTGTCAATGGTTCTTCCTGATCGCTACTTATAGGAATATGGGTAAGAGGCCTAGAGTTAACGACGTTCTCAATTTCAATTAACACACTTATCAGTGTATGTTCTTTAGGAGCTTCTTCTTTCAGAGTGTGCCACAGCGCCCGCTTAACGCACTGCACCATCCGTTCCCATGCTCCGCCTTCTGATGGATTACTCGGCCAATTAAATATCCACTCAACTCCCTTCGACGACAGCTCATCCTGGATCTTCTCACAATCAAATACTTCGGTGAACTTCTTAGCTTCCTTGTCTGCTCCAATGAAGTTTGTGCCGTTGTCAGAACGCAAACGGGCGGGTTGATAAAGTTGCGGATACATAGTATACAAGCGTCAGTCGAGAGATCCTGTGCCAATTCCAAATGAATGGCCCGCACCGTGACCAATAAGGCAACCCATCGCTTCTCTGTTCGGCGGCCTATCGAAACGTTGATCGGCCCGAAATAATCAAGGCCAGTAAAAGTAAACGGGCGGACATATGGTGTCAGGCGGTCCTGCGGCAGTGATCCCATTAATGGTGCAACAGGTTTTGTTTTTGAAATTTTACACAGACCACAGTTAGCAATAACGGGACGCAGTACTTGGCGAAGGCGCGGAATCCAAAATGTACGACGAATCTCAGTGATGGTTGCTTCGACGTTTTGATGAAACATCTTGCTGTGATTATAGGCAACTATCAACTCCGTAACCAAATGACAGGCTGGCAAAATAATCGGACGTTTAGTATAATACGGAAGACAAGTTGCAGCATCAATCCTTCCGTAGACTCTCAGCACCCCATCTTCGTCAGCATAAGGGCAGAGTTAATATAACTCGCTGTCCCGCGCGACTGTTCTTTTTTCAGCAATACTTTTTAACTCGGCGGCATATATTTCCTTTTGGACCAGACGACACAATGTTATCTGCGCCTTCTCGATTTCCTCTGCTATTAACCCATACGCTTGCTGGTCTGTTTTCTGCATTCTGCATCGTGAAATAAATCTGAGAATCCAGGCGATTGTACGTTATTAAAAGATGAAAAACGACTAAAATCAATTAACGTATTACGCACGGCTATCAATACAAATTTCGGCTTAATCTCCTCGTCATCGGCTCCCTTTGCTACTGTTTTCCCAACGGCGTCAGCGTCGGGCCAATGCCCTTGTAAGCCTCTTAGGAATGTCGGTCCACTGAACCAGCGCGATGTCGGCGAAAAGTCTATTGGACACTTGGAGCGTGTAGCTTCGTCGGCAACATTGGTGGATGTAGGCACCCATCTCCAGTTGCTTGGTTTTGATCCGTCAAGAATCTCCGCAATCCTATGAGCGACGAAGGGCTTGTATCGGCGATTCTCGCTCTTAATCCAATTTAAAACGGTGCTTGAATCGCTCCATAGGAAACAGTCGTTAATTTTAAGGGAATGTTCATTGAAAATCGTTTTCATCAGCCTTATTCCTAGAACAGCTGCTTGTAGTTCAAGGCGCGGAATTGTTAGCGGCTTTAATGGAGCAGTTCTAGTACAAATGTTACTCTTATCATGTCACAAGCTGTAACGTATCTCCAGTAAGCTACCGCTGCGAATGCGTCCTCGCTTGCATCCACAAATACGTGCAGTTGTAATTTCTTCACAGGTTTACTATCAAAATAATGGCGCGGAATTCTGCATTGTTCTACGTTGGGGATTTGCTGACGGAACCTCTCCCATGCTGAGTTGACTTCAACCGGGATGTCTTCATCCCATCTGATCTTATGTCTCCAAACTTCCCTTAATAGTAACTTGGCACTGATCGGAAGTGGCACAAAAACCCTATGGGATCGAATATAGACATGACTATGCTAAGAAGCTCTCTTTTTGTTGGGCATCTTGAGCCATCCAAGACAGTCTTATCGGTATAATTAAACTTTACCTCGAAATTAAAATCGTCACTGCTAGGTCGCCAGTACATCCCTAAAACCTTTTCAGACGCAAAGGTTTCTTTACTTTTGATGTCCAATGCGAATTCATCACCTCCTAATGAATTCGATACATCGGACGAATTAGATGCGAAATGACGTAGTATGAATCCAGCGTGTTTATGGATATCACACACTTGCTTAGTGACGTTGATAGCTTCAGCAACGGACTCAAAACTGTCGACGAAATCGTCCACATAGTGGTACTCAAGTATGGCTTTAACTGCTCGTAGGTTATCGGCTTGGCGGTGTTTCAAGGCGTTCACCGTCTTCACATGCTGCGCTACACATGGTGAGCAGGCTGCTCCAAATGTCATCGCTACCATCTCGTAAACGTCAGGCGGCTTTGTATCGTCTCCTCCTCGCCATAGGAATCGCTGAGCACATCGATCGTTGGGCTGAACCACTACCTGATGGAACATTTCCATTATATCCCCGCAGACTGCCACAGGACCCTCTCGAAAATGGAACAGTATTGCAGCAAGCGGTCGGTAATCCTGCGGTCCTTTTAGAAGGTGCGAGTTAAGTGATGTTCCATTCGAAAAAGCTGCTGCATCAAAGACGAGACGCAATTTCGCCGGTTTATTCGGGTTGACGACCGCGAAGTGTGGTAGGTACCAAATCCTTGGATTGTACGTGGTGATTTCGTCAGCAAGCAGCTTGCGAGCGTAGCCCTTTTTAACATAACCGCCAATGATTTCACTATACGCTGTGGCGAACTCCTTATTACGCTTCATTTTTCGCTCAATACCAATTAACCGCTTAAGAGCCATTGCATAACTTTCAGGCTGCACAGTATCGTCTGCTCTCCATAGCAAACCTGCTTGAAATTTTCCGTTAAACTGCAAAGTGGTAGCTTCCAAAATTTCCCTCGCACGTATGTCCTCAGCACTAATTATTGGCGGCACCGATTTCACTCCAAAGTTTTCTGTTCTAAAATAGTCAGAAACAATATCGTGAAGCTCCAACTCCCCTGGCGCATGTAGCATCAAACATGTAGCGTTTGAATTAGATCCTGTATTAGTCTGTCCGAAAATTACCCAACCAAGCTCAGTATTTGCTGCGTATGGGCCGTTCCCTCTAATGCCCATGGTCTCAGTAGGTCACCCGAGATGACAGTGATCTAAACCTATAAGAAGCTTCGGTTTAACATTGGAGTAAAACGACGGGGTAAACTTGCTATCAAGCTTCAAGTTCTGCAAGTCTTTTTCTGACAAAGTTTGCGTAGGTAGGTTAAGATTGTTTACTCCGTGAATATTGCGTAGCTTATGCCTCTTTCTTAACCCACGTCCGTTTACGTAGAGATCAACCAAAACTGTGGGCTCCTGAATCGTTCTACCCCCGAACCATTGTATGTCAAGCTGCTTTCGTTGACCACTGACACCCAACTCCTCCAACACGTCTCTGTCGGCCATTGTCACCGACGACCCTTCATCTAGTAATGCGTATACATCTATACTTTTAGCTGGCCCATGGAGTGTCACAGCCACTACACGAAAAAGTAATTTATTTCTGGGATTATTGTTGGCTTTGCAACTTAAAACTGCCTCATTTGTTGAATTGGAAGTCTGGGTTGTACCATTTGTGGTGAGGCTACCTGTATCGCACGTGTTCACATTCTGCTGTTCATGTAAAAGTTTATTATGCTTCCTTCCGCAACCATTTATCGCGCACGGTTTTCGTTTGTGACAATCTCGGGTAGAGTGACCATAGTTCAAACAACTAAAAAAAAGTCGATGTCGTTTGACGATAGACCAACGATCTGCTATGCTCGCATCTAAAAATCGCTTGCACTCAAATGGTTTATGCTTTGCGCTACATACTGAACACTTAAGGGTACTTGTGACATTGTTACGTTGAATTTCAGCGACATGGAAAACTGGTCGGCGTCGAGGCTCTCGTGGCTCATTATCTAGCACAACAGAAATTAAGGCGGCGATTTCTGAAAGCCAGTCACTAAAATGTTGAATGTTTGGATATGGCGAAATAGTTGCTGCACGTCTGGCCCATTCAATCTTTTTGCTCATAGGCAACTTCCCTACCAATTCTTCCAACAACGTTGGATTAGCTAAGTGCTGCTCACCATTAATAGAGTTCAAAAATATGGCAAGGTTTTTTGTTGTTGTCGCAAATTGCATTAATTTACCTACGTTATTTTCCGAGATGGGTGAAATTTCTCGAATTTGCTTTAATTGGCTACGGATCAACGACTCAGGACGACCAAAACGTGTACGCAAATGTTCAACAGCAGCATTAATATTGTTTGGATGAATTAAAAAGGATTTAACTACATCCCGAGCTTCACCCTTGAGGCACTTATATAAACGCTGGTTATTTTCAAAATGTGAATAACCATAGGCCGAAGTCGACTCGACGTAAGCTGTGTAAAATATTGGCCAGTCTTCCGGCTGACCAGAAAACTGCGGAAGATCAATCAGTTTTCTATGTGCGGTTGTAGAACCAAAAACGTGTATTTGATTATTTGCTGCTCTTTGCAGTTGTATAGCAGAATCTACCGAATAAGGATTTGGCGAACTGGCATAAGGTGACGCGCGATTATTTAAACATGGAGCAAATGTCGTTGGATGCGTGTACACTGGTTGCGTAAACATATTTTGTTGCAAGGCGTTAGGCGACATGTTGCTATCATGTTGCTGTATATGCGCAACGGTATTCGCTTGGCTCGAAATTGTTGTTGTTGGCATGGCGCAACTTTCGATGATCTGTGTAACTGGAGCAGCCGAAAAAACGTTATTTTGCCTAGTTGTTAATTCTCTATCTTTTCCCAACTCTGAATTTGGTAACCTAACTTCTGCCTCTTTAAGTTGGCGCTGTAAAATTTCTATTTGGTTTTGCATACAAATAAGCATGCTTTCTACCGAATGCGACTGTACTGTTGGAGAAGCTGATCCTGGAATGGCGGCGGGAACTTCGGCAGGTGGCACTGCGGAAAGGGCAAGTGATTTACCGGCGACACTACTACCGTTTGTGGAACAGGCATTTGATTCCACGTGGGCTTTACGTGTCTGCTGAGCAGGCAAATTTCGTTGCACGGAATTGGGCTGTGCAGGATTGTTCAGCAACTCTATGCGTGGTGTTTTCGTGGTGGTGGCAGAGGGTATATGCAAATTATGTACAAGGCTTACCTGTGGGGTTGATAACTGGTGTTGTGACGGCGCAGCAACAGAGGCGGAAGAGCTGCTCATGGCTGCAGTGGTGGTACCTGATGACTTTGCGGCGGTTGCATATGTGTTGGAAGTAGATTTAATTCCCGTCGACGAAGCGGCCACTTCATTTCCTGGTGTACTCGTGTTTGGCATATTTCTGGGGCTCCGGCGTGGTGGAGTGCCCATTCGCTTCACTTAAAAACAAATCCTTTGGTCGATGAACAAAAAACGAGAAGTCGCAAAATGGCGCGCTTCGACAGTCTCTTTAGGATTTGGCACAAAAAATCGTCAATTACAAAATGGCGGCAAATTCGCTGAATTTTAAAATGTGCGAAATAAAATTGTCATTTGCCGAGGGCTCGCGAATTTAATCTTCCGTAAAAATGAAAAGGCGACGTTTACGCTGTAGCACAGAAATGTGATGGATACAAAAATGGAGATATTTATTTCTAAAAGGCGAATACATACATATATGTGGTTAATAAATCACAAATTACATTTTTAAAAGTTTACTCACCGCAGTTTTCTAGCCCTCCTTCTTCAGCAAATGACAAAATTCTAGTGATGGCAATTGCAAATCGAAGTGAAGTTAAAGTAATAAAAGGACTGAAGAAGTAGGAGCGAGAAAATGGGTGGGTTCACAGAGGTACACAATAAAGTCGAATGGGTGAGTTCACAGATGTACGAAATAAAGTCGAATGGGTGAGTTAACAGAAGTACGAAATAAGTCGAATGGCTGAATTCACAATGATCATTTTATTACATGCATTGTGAACCGTATAAACTTATAATTGTGTAAACCTTATAAATGAACTGTCAAAATTTGTATGGAAACTCGTTTACACATTTCTGATACATTTCTCCAGCGATTTCACTGAATAAACTTGATAAACTGAAGCCAATGCAACTCTGTCGCAACTCTAGCTATGTTTTCTTGGCCAATAATCGGGATCCGCATACAAATTTTGCACGCAAATTCATTCTGCCATTGTTTCTTTTAACTTGCTTCAAATAAATAGACCTTATGTTATATGTATATTTATTTAAATAGATATTATCTCGTAAATATAATTTTTTCCCGTTTAGTGAGTTAGTTTCTCTAATTTCTTTATCCTCGTGCTAGTAGTATAAAGTTAGTGATACTGAGCTCTATAACCAAAGAAAACACGACTATTGTCGCATGTGTAAACGAAAAGAGAGTGTGGGTCGTTCATGTAACAGAGTGCGTAAACTTATAAGATTATCTGCTTGATAAAGTTATCGGTTTAGATGAATACCACTAGTTCTAGCCACACCGCGAATGTTTGACGCAGCATTTCCATTCACTTATGAACGAGAACGACAGCAGTGAACGTTCGCGAAGGCATCGATGCCACTTATAGTTGCATATATGAAGGCACGCTGTTTGGTCTACCAATCAGTGTTGCCAGAAGTTTTTGGATGAACCGGCTAAATTGGCAAATAAAACCGGCTAAACTGTTTCAACTAAATTTCACATGTTTTATTTAAATAAATCACGAGTAAAAAGAAGTTACAAATTCGAGCCGGAAAAAATTTTGCCAGCAAGAATTTGCAATTAGGAAAAAGATANTTGCATATATGAACGCACGCTGTTTGGTCTACCAATCAGTGTTGCCAGAAGTTTTTGGATGAACCGGCTAAATTGGCAAATAAAACCGGCTAAACTGTTTCAACTAAATTTCACATGTTTTATTTAAATAAATCACGAGTAAAAAGAAGTTACAAATTCGAGCCGGAAAAAATTTTGCCAGCAAGAATTTGCAATTAGGAAAAAGATATGACATGGTTGGATTTTTGTCGACGGTAATTTGAATAAACAAGTTCGTTAAATTTAAAAATTTACAAACTGGAGCGATTTTAAAATGAAAAATGTAAGTTAATACTTGTTTACTTAATTAATTTAGTTAATTCCAATGATTTGGTACTCGGTAAAAAAAACTATTTATTACTAGTACTATCTGATATTATGAGTGATAATTCTCGCTGGATTTTCGACGAACAAACCTATTATATTCCCTACAAGGCCTTTTCAGACTGACCGATTCCCAATACACTCAAATAGAAACCAATACACATAAAAAACGCTGTAAAAATTTCCCTTCAGTTTTAAGGGAGTAAAACAACGACCTTAAGTTAACATCAGCCGAGGCCATATGTTGACAAGGGATGCAAAATCACAGTTACACAAAAGAACTGCTCAGATTTTACTGAAATCCCTTCAATTCTGATGTAAAATATGATGCTAAAAGACTGCAGATCTCCCATTGCGATGACCGGTCATATGACCGGGAGATGTCTCGTAAGATTCCCAGAGAGTTNGAGATGACCGGTCATATGACCGGGAGATGTCTCGTAAGATTCCCAGAGAGTTTTGCTTTACATAGAAATTTGTGCTCTTTTATTTTCATTTTGACTCACTTCAGTGTTGGTTCCTTTAATTCAAGTTGGCATTCGGGTATTGGAATTTAAATAAGTTCTCAGTAAAAACGTTTGTTTAAAAAAATACATATGTGTACATAGTGCTTGAAAATATCTATTTTTCCATTACCTTAAACCTTTGGGAGTGGGCAAAAATTATGTTTTTTAATTTAGGCAGAATTGAATATGCGCTATCTGGGAAGACAATATCTACATGTAATATTTATTCTGTTTGTTGGCACTATATCCAAACACAAACGCATCTTAAGAGTCTTAACAGTGAAACAATTTCTTATTTTCTAAGTTTGCGAATAAAACTTCACACTTAAAATTAAGACATTTATAACAAACATTTTATGAAGAAAATCCCTTCTTTGTTTAAAATAAAAATAAGCGAAATCGGCCCAAGTTCATACAATCCTGCCTGACATGAAAATTTTCTCCACGATAAGGCTAGTAGCCATTTCTAACAGATTTTGGGTCGCTTAGTCAAAAATGGAAACATATATACATATTTGAAATTTAAGAAAACAAGGCAAATAGCAAAATCGGCTGCCGGCTAAATCGAAATTTCTCCGGCTGTTTGCTATCGCAACCGGCTAAATCTAGCCGGAAAACGGCTAAGATGGCAACACTGCTACCAATAAATACGCGTACGAACAACAGCGACAACATTCGCGAACACGAACGATCTGGACTTGTTTTATGCTTCTCGTTCGCGAAGGAGAATCAATAGGGAATATTTGATACGTTTACGTTGGCGTTGGCGTTCGCGTTCGCGTACGAAGGTGAGTGAATATTTCCGAACCCTGGCTCTAAGTCTGTCTAACAAGGGACAATAACCGGCTTCAGCATCAGGCGCTAGATGGTTAAGTAGTATATCAAGCACAATACCGAATTTAGAGGGAGGAGGGGGAAGATTATTTTTTAACTTTGTTATGTACATCAGTGTTGCCGTTTTAGTCCTTTGGTGGCTAGATTTAGCTCCCACATACTTTTTTTNTACGTTGGCGTTGGCGTTCGCGTTCGCGTACGAAGGTGAGTGAATATTTCCGAACCCTGGCTCTAAGTCTGTCTAACAAGGGACAATAACCGGCTTCAGCATCAGGCGCTAGATGGTTAAGTAGTATATCAAGCACAATACCGAATTTAGAGGGAGGAGGGGGAAGATTATTTTTTAACTTTGTTATGTACATCAGTGTTGCCGTTTTAGTCCTTTGGTGGCTAGATTTAGCTCCCACATACTTTTTTTGGCCACGTAAATTTGAAATTGCCCCTAGCCCTTTTTTTTAGCCCTTTGGAGAATTTATACATACATGGCGTGAAAAAGTTTTATATGCTTAATTTTATCTCTTTTTTCATTTATGTAAGATATGAAGTTTTAAACTAAGAAAGACTGATATACATATATACATATATGTATTGTATGTTCCTTACGTTTTTATACATAAATAATGTAAAATAGTTAGGGCTGTTCACTTATCTATTAGCGATTTAACTATAGTTTAATATATATAAGTTTACGGCCCTTAATATGCTTAATTTGTTAAATGCCCATCATGTCGATTGACCGTGTATGTTCTTGTGGTGTGATTGAACCAGCTGCTGGTGCGATTTCAAAAACTATTTGAAAATTTTATGATTGTACCAGCATGCTGGTGTCGTGAGTGGTGAAATTAGCTCAATTTACTAAGTAAAAAGTATTTTGGCTGAAATTTCCTGCACTATATGAGTCAAAGCAGTGTTTGTGGAAGATTAAGTTCGCGATATTGCAGTTGTGAATTAAAAAAAAAAAACAATGTTTAACAAAATGGTAGGAAAATTGTGAACTTTCGGCTCTAATCATTTTGATCTGTCCTCGACCTCATTTGTAAAGAAATAAATATTGTACCAGCATGCTGGTAAGTTATATGCTTCAAGCCTGATGGTACAATCACTTGATGGAGCCAGCAAGCTGGTGTCGTATATTTCCCCTTTTATACAAAAAGGTTTAGCTTTTTACCCAGTGTTCATTGTTTTTTTATACCATTACTCATTCAAAATGTTTGTGTGTATACTTATATATTTATATGTAAGTAAAAAATTTTAGCTACCATTTTTAGCCAAAACGACTTTTTTTAGCTCTTTTTTTAGACCTTTTTTAAAGGAATTTGGCTACCACTAAAACTGATTCGCGGCAACACTGATGTACATACCTTTATGTACAATGTGCACGTCCAACTAAATATATAAATAAAATAATGTAAAAAAATATTTTTTAAAAACAAGCTTTTATTTAACCTGTACAATCAAAGGAATCGCGCGAATAGCAAACCGGCATTTAAATATCTGCATACATACATATACATACATACCTAACCAATTATGCATGTACGCTGAATTCGCCGACAAGCTTTTTTAAAAACGAAGTAAATTAGTACAAATTGTTAGTAATTTTCATTAGAGTTTGAATAACTCCTTTAACGAGACCTTAACTTATTTTATTTTATTCATTTTAGTGCAGTTTTGACAAACTTTTCTTGCTAAAAAATCTTTTGTTACACTACTTCATTTTATTCCTTTGATTGACAGGTTAAATAAAAGCTTGTTTTTAAAAAATATTTTTTTTTTTACATTATTTTATTTTATAATTTTTAGTCCATTTATAAAAGCGTTGTATATTAAAAAGTGTTATTTTATTTTATGTACAAAATTTTGCAATAGATATTAAAATAATTCAACTTGCAATGAAAGAGAACGGAAGATTGGCAAGCAAAATGTTGTTTGCTTACGTTTTGTATAAACATACATATGTACATATAGCAGCAGTTAATTTTATTTAAAGAAATGGCGTGTCGTCCATTTTCGCTGTAGCATGGCATATATTTAGGCGCAATATTCAACTTCTTCTGGTGGGGCGACATCTGGAGTCTTTTAATTGTATCTCCTTGATATGATGCCTACAACGAGGTTAATATCTAGACTAGGAATAGCTTTGCTACACTACCGACGCGGCGCGCCGGCAGTTTTAACAATTTTATAGTGGTTTTACGTTTTTGGCAAATTACGCTCTGTTAGCCATAAATCTTACTATTTTTTGACCGCCCTTGAATCAAGAGACCTGGACCATATGGAGAATTCATTTACATTTTAAATTGCATTGTTATCGTGATTGGAACTATGCTGAAAATTTCAAGTCTCTAACTTGTCGGGAAGTCAGTTTAAAATCGATTGGAAATTTCCGCGATTTGCGCGGGATGACCAAGTTAAATAAAAGCTCATAAAAAATACATACAGTGGTCAAAATATTTTAGCCGAACCACTTTTTGCCAAGTTTTACCGTATAATTTTTGTTGTTATTTAATTTTGGTTATTTTTTTTAACAAAACCCGTGTAAATCCAAGTTACCAACTTTGTGCAATATTAAAAAAAATTCAACAAACTTTCGTAAAAATTTCGGGCTTATTTAAAAATTCTGAAATATCAATCGTAATTTTTAGCCATTTGAAACTTGTACTTTATTCTACTAGAATTCAATGGGCTACAAAACCGCATACTCAGAATCTAATTTAAATCTCGAAATTTTTACCAAAATTCGTAGAATTTTTTTCTTTTAATTGCATAAATTGTGCATTTTAATATTAGGCTATTGGTACCGCTGTGGTGTAGTGGTAAGCAGCTCGGCCAAACATTAACATATGTGTAAGCGCCAATCTATTACACTGTGAGACAAATGGTAGGGGTCAGTGATAATATTCATGCTGCCAATCTTTTTGCAGATTTTTTTGCGGCTAATTTCATCTCGGACGAGGATATACTCGATGCTGAGAATGCTAGTTTACATTCTTACGATTATTGTACCGAAAGTACTACTTTTAATCTTGGGTCTTTAGCTCTTTCAGATGAAGACATTGTTGAAGGCATAAAAAACATCAAATTTTCAACCGCGACTGATATGGACGGTCTCTCCGTAGTTCTGTTAAAAAACTGCCCGTCTCTAATTGAACCCTTAAAACGTATCTTTAATAAATCTCTGGAGTCAGGCATTTCATCGAAGATTGGAAACGTGCTTACATTTCCCCTATTTTTAAGAGTGGAAATAAAGCTGATGTAAGAAACTACCGCCCAATTTCTAAATTATCTACAGTTTCAAAACTTTTTGAAAGCGTGATAAAGGCTAAACTTTGGTTTAATCTTAAGCATTTGATTTGCCCGAATCAGCACGGTTTCGTTTCGGGAAGATCTACAATAAGTAATTTAGCAGTTTTCGCCGATGATTGCTTTTATGCGTTCCAAAATGGTCACCAAGTGGACGTAATTTACACTGATTTTGCTAAAGCCTTCGATAGGATCTCACATTCTGTCCTAATTGCTAAACTCAACCATTTAGGTTTTCATTCCGGCTTCCTTAAGTGGATTATGTCGTATCTTAGTGGTCGGAAAAGTTCAGTTCTCCTGGATGGTATATATTCTAAAACTATAATTTCCACTTCGGGTGTACCACAAGGCAGCATACTGGGCCCATTATTCTTCATTTTATTTATAAATGATATAGGATCATGCTTTTCAGCTGTTAACTATCTGCTTTACGCCGACGATCTTAAAATTTATTACGAAATTAAAGAGATGAATGACTCACTTGTCCTTCAGGCTGATTTGGACAGGCTGTATTTATGGTGTGTAAAAAATAGGCTTTTTCTTAATATAAAGAAATGTCATCAAGTAACCTTCTCCAAGTTGCTGCAGCCCTTCCAAACTTCTTACCATATTTGCAATACCCGTTTAGATTCGCTTAATGAAGTGAAAGATCTCGGTGTCTTTTTCGACTCCAAGTTTACTTTTGTCACGCACATAAATTATACTATTTCTAATTCGTTTTCAATGCTTGCCTTTATTCGTCGCAATAGTAGGTGTTTCTCCAATCCATATACTCTTAAAACCTTGTACACTGCTTTTGTTCGGTCTAAATTAGAGTACGCCGCCTTCATTTGGAGACCGTATCATCAAGTACATATCATTCGGCTGGAATCGGTTCAGTGTTTTATTTGACGAGAAATTTAAACCATTAGCGTATTTTGTATGGAAGACTTAGCCAACATAACTATAATGGCTAAGTCTTCCATACAAAATAAGCTAATACCTTAAATTTCTCGTCAAATAAAACACGCCTTTTGTTAATTTTAAGCAGGCCTGCAGGACGCTGAGTTCGCAGTACCCTTGGGGCAGCGTTCGCGTGTTCGTAAACACGAAATAAGGTCTATCCTTAGGTCGAATAAGGTCTATATAATAAGGCTATCTATCAATCATAGCTAATAATGCTATTAATTATAATGAATCAATTAATATTATTGTAACAAAAGTTTTAATAATAAATCATAACAATACATTTGCTATAAAATGTGTGATTGACACATATTCACGGTACTGTTTGATGGAAAATAAATAAATTTGAATCTTCTCCTTAAAATTGCTTCTTTTCAAAAATTCATTTCTACCAAGGCACATTAAACAGGTAGTATCAGTAGAGCAAAAACAACATTTGCGTGTATTTTGTTGTTGCTTCTGGTATCGAAAGTGTCAAAAACTGTTCTGAATTTTTTCTTCTAAATCAAAGCGTGCCATGTGAAATACAAAAAATTATAAAAAATAAAAAATTGAAATTGGAAAAAATAAAAATTGATGCAACTTTCTTTCCTAGTAAATTTGTTTGCTTCTCGAAGCATTGATCCATCCTTTACAAGGGCCAGTAATCAGCGGTTGTGCTGCTGAGTTGGGCGAACGTTCCAAAAGCTGCTATTCAATCGCTTGTTTTGTATGGAAAAAGGTTTCACATGCAAATGGATTTTAACAATTCAGAATTTTTGTGAGAAAAAATTAAAAATATTTGACATTTTCGAGACCAAATAATTTGAAAATAAATCAAATCAGCTACTCCACTGATACTACCTGTTCAATGTACCTTGATTTCTACCGTCTCTATGTTTTCTTTTACTTACTTACTTAGTCTTACTTAATCCTTCTGTAACGTTTGGGTCAAAATGACCCAATTTTCATGAAAAAAACTTTAATAACAGAGTTAGGCAATTTTAAAAAAGCTGCGGCCTTGTCTATTCGTTAAAAGCGTAATCAGCTATGGTTTTGCAAAAATAAAATGGTTTATTATTCTATTTTGTTTTCTAGAAGGCAACATAGTTTTTCCATACACCCACAGTATTTCTGGGTCATTGTGACCCAAATTATTACTTAGTATTTAAGGGCAACTTTGACCCGGTAAGAATACAGCACTTGCCGATAAAGTGTCTATAAATAAAATATTAACTGAATAAAATCTTTTGTTTTCTTAAAATTGACTAATTTCTATTATTGGGTCAAAATGACCCAAAACATTACAGGAAGGGGTGAATTCTAAATGCTGCAGAAGGATTAACATTTATGGTAGATATATGAAAAATAAGAGAATCGAGTTCTCAGAATCGATTCTCGATCGGTTCAGAAAATTTAGAATCGGTTCTCTAAAATCGATTATTTCGAGAAAATCTTCGATTCTAGAGTGGAATCGGAATCAATTTTTCCATCCCTAAATGGAACGTTTGTAACGCTGGAAACGTTATTAAATAACTTTAATTTATTAAACAAGAATTTTAATTCTCATTTCTCAACAAACAATGCTTGAGTTTCGGAATATTTCGTAAATTTTACAGTATATACACAGTTACATAAATAAGTAACGGAAAATGGAAACGGTTTTCAGCACAAAATTTATCAGCCAAAAATTTGTAAACAAACGATTCCAGCTGGGCTTTTTCAAAAAGAAAACAAAACAAACTCTTTAGGCGTTGCACTGATAATAGATCTTCAGACAGAACTGGCATTCGAAGGGAAACAAAATAATCACAGTGGACATGTCAGTGCATGTCTAGAATCAAGTTAAATTTATACAGAGTAATTATTTGGTGCTAATTTTCCTGAAAGCTCAATCAGAAGGCTTTGTAGCTGGCCGTAGCATACCCAAAAAGGATTAAATAATTGAGCACGGACGCTCTATTTTTTCAAATGATACAAGAAGAGCTCCTAGAAGATATTTAGATTGTTTATTTTGCTAACTGGGTACATATGGACATGCATATGTACATACATAAATATTTTAATTTCTTTTTAGTATTACTCCTACTCCTCTGGGCGAAGGTAAGAGTACAACACTGATTGGATTAGTTCAGGCACTTTGTGCACATAAAAGTCGAAATGCCATTGCCTGCATGCGACAACCATCACAAGGGCCCACATTTGGTATTAAAGGTGGTGCTGCCGGTGGAGGATACGCCCAAGTGATACCCATGGATGAATTCAATTTGCATTTAACTGGTGATATCCATGCTGTTTCGGCAGCCAACAACCTACTTGCCGCTCAATTGGACACCCGTATATTCCATGAAAATACGCAGAAGGATACATCTCTTTACGATCGTCTTGTACCGCGTATTAAAGGTCAGCGAACATTTTCGAAAATACAATTGCGACGTCTGCAACGGTTGGGAATACTCAAAACCGATCCTGATTCGTTGACGCCTGAAGAACAAAGCCGTTTTGCACGTCTGGATATCGACCCCGATACAATAATGTGGGAGCGAGTCATTGATATTAACGACCGGTATTTGCGCGAAGTTACGATTGGCCAATCGCCCACGGAAAAACATTTGACTCGTAAGACATCATTCGCTATCTCAGTGGCTAGTGAAATAATGGCCGTACTAGCACTAGCAACTGATATGGAGGACATGAAGCGACGGTTATCAAACATGGTAGTAGCTTTCGACCGCAGCGGCAAACCTGTAACTGCTGATGACCTAGGTGTTACTGGTGCCCTTGCTGTGCTTTTAAGAGACGCTTTGGAACCTACTTTAATGCAAACATTAGAAGGCACACCAGTTCTGGTGCACACTGGTCCATTCGCAAATATTGCTCATGGATGTTCCTCAATTGTTGCTGACAAAGTTGGTCTAAAATTAGTGGGTGAAAAGGGGTTTGTTTGTACGGAGGCAGGTTTCGGATCAGACATTGGCATGGAAAAATTTTGCAATGTTAAATGTCGTTCGTCAGGTCTCAAACCAAATGCCATGGTGCTAGTGGCTACAGTTCGGGCGCTCAAAATGCATGGAGGCGGGCCCGCAGTTACGTCAGGAGCGCCTCTCAATAAACAATATACCGAGGAGAACTTACAATTACTGGAGAAAGGGTTGCCAAATCTGCTGCAACATATTTCCAATGGTCAGAAATTCGGACTCCCAGTTATTGTTACTATTAATCGCCATACGTAAGTCCTGAAAATACTTCGCAGAGAATATACTTATGGTCCCGTTTCTGCCTTAACCTCGTATCTGCAATAGAGGTATTTTAGAGAGTGTAAGAAAATATGCTTAGTTTCTTCCCACGCATTTTTTACTTAATATTTCTGGTTCCACTAACAGTAGTGAGCACCCTCATTAATTCTTTGTTCTATTTTCAAATAGTGTGACATTTAAATAGCTGCCATAAGTGGTAATATTAGTTTTCCCAAAAATTGTAGATACGTGATTAAGGCAGAAACGGGACGATATGCATCACCATCAATGCAAAAGGCCCTATATGACACTGTTTCAGAAATATGTTTTTTACGTCACTAAGGAAATACCCCATAGTTTGCTCTCGGATACACCCCGATACAAAAATACTTAAAAATACTCAATTAAATTTGAAAAGTTTTTTTCTGCTGTAAAATTTTAAATTTGTCAGATAGCGCCTTTTTCCATTTCCTGCAAACCATACTTTCAGAGCAATCTGAATAGTAGAGAAATCGTAAAGCATTTGTAAAGAAATCTTTATTCCCCATTTACGATCTTTGCTGAATTTTCTAAGTTGAAATATAATCTGCACAATTCTATTCCTTTAAGAAATTTCGTCAGACAACCGGTAAAGCAATGATAATCATTTTGCGCTGTGAAGAAATCGTTCAGAATTTTAATTTTAGTGCAGAAATTTCCAGGGACCGTAAATAGCAGTTACTTTTTTCCAACAGTCAAACTTGGCCAGATATTTTTTAAGTTCGAAATGAAAGTCTTTCCGGATATATCCTAAGTAAACAAACTTGGTACCAAATGAATGAGGGCTTAAATAGCTTTTAAACAGAAATAACGATCGAAGGCTACCACTTCTATTTATATTTTATATACATTTTTTTATAATTTTATACAAAAGAAATGCATATACCTGACCCAAGGTTTGTTCTATAGTAATTAAAAAAACATTTTTTATTTACATATTTTTCAATAGCTGGCTTTCTGCTGGCTTTCCTCGTTTTAATATTTCAGTTTTAAAGCTATTTTAGTCTGTGTAACTCAGTGAGAGGGCAGGACCAGGATGAATGTATTTGCATAAAAATNTGTTCTGTAGTAATTAAAAAAACATTTTTTATTTACATATTTTTCAATAGCTGGCTTTCTGCTGGCTTTCCTCGTTTTAATATTTCAGTTTTAAAGCTATTTTAGTCTGTGTAACTCAGTGAGAGGGCAGGACCAGGATGAATGTATTTGCATAAAAATTTATTAAAGCAAAAATGTTTTGGATAGACGTCGGGCCAATGATAAGCATCAGTTACCACCTCTGCATGGTTGTAAGTCATGTATAGTCCCTATGGCTTGTAGCGCTGTGGCTTTGCCACTTAAAGTTTGTAAGAGTTTTTGGGGATGTGCGTCAAGCGGGAGTGTTAAGCACCGATTATGTATTCAAATGAGAAAATTGGGTAGGCGCTGTGGCCAATGGCAGCTCTTGTACCACCTCTGTATGCCGAAAGCCAAACAGAGCCCCGTGATACAACTCCGGAAGAGTTGTGATGCCTCAAGCGGGAGTGTTGAGCATTGTGGCTTGATGCGTCAAGCGAGTTGAGCATCGGTTATGTATTTAAGTCAGAAAATTGGGTAGGCGCTGTGGCCAATGGTAGCTCTTGTACCACGTCTGTAGGCCGAAAGCCATACAGAGCCCCGTGAGGCAACTTCGGAGGAGTTGTGATGCATCAAGCGGGATTGTTGAGCATTGTGGGTTGATGCGTCAAGCGGAAGTGTTGAGCATGATTTGGGGTGCCAGCAATTAACTACTTTAGTAGGTCTTGTTCTGACCGCCACTGCATCTACATCTATTGTTTTTCCAATCCGCCCTTCTGGCACTTTGATTCTAATTATTGTTAAAATTACCAATGAGAAAATAAACCGCGTAATTATTGAAGTTTAAAGCAAAAATCTACCTCTTGTTATTATATACATATGTATGCATGTATATACATATTTGCATACACTTGCATATTACTGTTCTCCGCACTCAACCCTACGACCTCCCTTGAACATAGACCTAAGTTGATACCAAAATTGTTTAATTTGGATAAGCGGAAAGGACTTTTATTTTCGACTTAAAAATATCTGGCCAAGTTTAGCTGTTGAAAAAAGTAACTGTTATTTATGGTCCCTGGGAATTTCTTAACGAGTTCGTGTCAACTCCCTCTTACGATTTTCTTTAAAAATTCGTAAAGAAATTCTTACAGGATTCTGAACACATTTCTTATACTCCTAATGATTTCGATAAGACTTTCGGATTTTTGGTTTCCATGGTAGATGGTGACGATATGTATTGGTCTGTTCGACTAGATCCCTAGTGATAACTATCCAGCGGCAACTTGAAAGAGAGTAACGGACGATTCCTAAAAAAAAAGGTTTTCAAAAAACTACGTGGATGCAAAATTTGCGAAAGCTTGCAGGTTTAAGGATCAGCTGATCGAAATTTTGTTCAGATCTAACAGCATAAAACAGAAAATATAGCATTATTAAAAATTAATAGTTTGCCTGGCATATAAAACAAGTAGTAGCATTAGAGCAAAAACAAATACATACGTGTATTTTATGTTGCTTCTGGTCTCTAAATCAATGGTGGGTATACTTACATTCAATAAGTGAGACTGTGTGCGTTAAATGCACTGCTTCCCTGCAAAAAGTAGGACTAGGTTAAATATTAGAACAAGACCGCGCTACCTTGTTACCAACACTAGTAACCAAATGGTCCAAACATATGGAGAAAATGCGGTTACATTAACATTGCGATGGAGTCGTTCCATATGAAATCGTCTAATTGAAGTCGCGAACCCATTTTAGATTTTGCTGTAACTTGAGGGACTATTCTTTATGGTCCAAAGAACAGAATTTACGCAAAATTAAATTCTTAGAAACCTTCGTTTCCGCCTGTCCGAATCAAAAGTTTTAAAAATCGCGATTTTATGCTTTAACAAATTTAGCTCTAAAGTGTTTCCTTTTTAAGATATCTACCCACTTGAGGCGGCATTTTAAAGGGAAAAGATGATAGTTTTAATGCAAGGAAAGAAAGTCGTTTAAGTCAATACCTCCGAATAATTGCAGCGTCTTAGAATTACGTGTTTTTTACTTCTTTTTTGTGAATTTTAATCGACTGTAGCGTTTTGACTGTTTTGAGTAGGCAGCTTATGTTACTCAGGAATTAAGTGCGCGTATCATAGACGAAACACAGCTACGAGTCGACCTGTACAGATCGCTGCTTATAAAAGAAACATTTGCTTAAAGTTGCGAAATACATATTTAAAATTCGCAATATTCAGGTTACGAAATAAACGTGTTGCCTGCTAGATGAAAATACGAAACCAACGACCGCTCGTTTTTGTTATTTTTATGTTTGTTTAGTACATGTGCAAGTGGTGAAAGCAACATCGCAAAAAAATATAGAAAAAAGGTTTTTTCTTAACAGTGGCCGTTCATCGGCAGGCATTGGCAAACCTCCGAGTGTATGTCTGCCATGAAAAACAGCTTCTCGTAAAAAATATAATCGCCGTTCGGAGTCGACGTAAAATTGTAGGCCCCACCGCTCGTGTGTCACCACCAAGGCGCACACCACAAATCGGAGGAGAAGCTCGGCCAAACACTAACATATGTGTAAGCGCCAATCTATTATTATTATTATTACATGTGCAAGTGGTGTTTGTATAGCCACTACATTTTTGCTATATAAAATCCACTTGCACATGCACTTAATATGAAAATAACAAAACTAGCGAAATTTTGAAATATTTTGGAAACCTTTTCATTTTTACAATGTGAGACCATAATATTTGGATTCAGCGGAAAATTCTACATAGGATTCATGTATCGAACGCCGTGCGATTTCTTAGTAGCTACTTAAGTAATAGAATGCAAAAAGTAAAAGTTGATAACATTTTCTCTGATCTTCTGCACATTCACTCTGGCGTTCCACAAGGTTCCATACCTAACCGTCTTCTCCTTAGGATGTTTATAAATGATATTTTCAATGCATGCTCACATGCCCGTTTACATGCTTACGCTGACGACGTTCAGCTTTATCTCTCTGGTCGCACTGGCATGGTTCATGAAATCGCGCTTCAACTAAATTACGATTTGCATTCTATTCTTAAGTGGTCAAATGAAACCCTGCTTCTCCTTAATGCTAGGAAATCTCATGTGCTTCCAGTATGCAAAGATAAGATCCAGCCCTCTGAGGATCCTCACCTATATCTTAGTGCTGATATTCTTCAATTAGTTGATAAAGTAAAAAATCTTGGTTTCATAGTAAATTCTAGACTGACTTGTGAGGATCACATAAACGATGTAGTTAAAAAAATTTACTATACACTGCGGTGTGTCTCCGAGNTCATGTGCTTCCAGTATGCAAGGATAAGATCCAGCCCTCTGAGGATCCTCACCTATATCTTAGTGCTGATATTCTTCAATTAGTTGATAAAGTAAAAAATCTTGGTTTCATAGTAAATTCTAGACTGACTTGTGAGGATCACATAAACGATGTAGTTAAAAAAATTTACTATACACTGCGGTGTGTCTCCGAGCTAACTCTGCTTTTACACCCCAAGTCACTAAGAAAAAAATGGTAATTAGTCTAATTGTTCCCCTCATTACTTATTCTGATGTAGTGTATAGCGAACTTGACTCTCAATCATTTCAAAAACTTAATGTTGCTTTTAATTTTGCCACCAGATGTGTACATGGGTTAAAGAAATTTGATCATTTAAATACCCTCAGAAACTCGATAGTGGGATGCGACCTAAGAAACTTTTTAAAAGCTCGAAATTGCATTTTTGTGTTCAAACTGATTATGCTTAATAAACCGGAAAACCTGTATTAAAAACTGAGGTTCCCTAGAAGTGTACGCTCTTCCAGTTTTATTTTACCGAAATATAATTATCTTAACACGTCGAGATTATTTTTTGTTAATGCTGTAAAACTTTGGAAATCT